ATCATATACATAGTACCAAGATTAAAAAATAGTTTCTTAATTAGTTATTAATAAAATATCTTGTTTCACTAAATTAAATTAATTCACAAAACATATCATATATATATCCAAAATTTTAATCTCTTTAGCTTTTTTAATAATCCAATTTAAAAAATTGTACAATTAAGCGTTTTTTATTGTATTTTTCTCAACTAATGTTACATCAATAAAAATCTTTTTCATTAAAAGGAAAAAACCTCTTTTAACATTATTGTTTTCCTCATTGAACTTAACACTAGTCATAGTTAACAATAGTTTTCATATTGCTACATTTATTGTTCATTCAAATCATTACAAATAACAAATCTATCTTGCAAAAATATCTTTTTATTGATGAAGGGTCAACTACATAGTCAATAAATTCCCATTCTTCCATACCAAAGATAATCATTTCAATTCAACTTCGCTTTCAAGTAATGTAACCAATAGAGAAAATATTTACGTCTTGATATCCAAAACTGCAAGAACAAGCATTGTTTCCAGCGGCTTAGCTACCACCACATCATCAAATAGCTCAACGACGTGGCCTAGTAATGGAGCTCCTTAGCAAGCTGATTATCAGACTTTGACACTCGAGCTAACATCAGAGTTGCAAGCACTAACGAGACAAGCACTAACGGAGTCTATGAAAAATGTTCATAAAAACAAGCTCAAACACGAAGAAAGTACAAGCAGCAAACAAAAAAACCAATTGGGATAGAAAAGCACCCAACTCACATTGTGCGCAAAGAAGCCAAAACGGTCATGTTAGCGAAGGAATTTCATTAGTGTACACAGCAGCTCTCTAAACCATAGCCTGCTTCAGTCCTTCAGGGACCTGGACATCACGATACCACTATACCAGATACACTTTATTGAGCGGTGAAGATCTCTAAAGGACAGCAACTAAAATAGCAAAATTTGGAGTTTACCCAAATAAGAGTATTCACGTTTTCACTACCCTCCCCTTTGCACCTTGGGTTACCTATCATTCTTCACTGGTACTATAGAACAACCCTTGAAACTAGCCTCATCTCTTCTTCTCTACTCTAATTATTGCGTGCACCTGAAACCTGTTTCCCGCAGCTAAATCGAACCTGATGCAACTACCTGGTTTCAATATTCAACAAAGAGAGCAATAACTAGACCTCGTGATTGAATTGACATTGTCGGGGGTTAGGATCCCAACACTAGAGTGAAAATTCGTTAGAGGAAACCTCCCGTGGTTTGTGAGCGAGAGTATGGCCGCACAAGCTGCACAAGCTACCCAAAAAGGTAATGTACAGAGGAGTAGCCAGCATACAAGTACTGCCTTCTTCGCTCATTGCCTACGATTGGAGCAGAAGGGGAGTCGACGCTTGGGACTTGGGTAAAATGCTGTCTGCCAATTCCGTGTTGAGCTTCACCGGCAATGGTGGCATCTGACTCATTATCCCAGGCATGTTCGTCATCCTGCATAATTGGCACCATTTAGTGCAGGCTTTTACTACTTCCTTCCTTTTTTTTCTACTGCTTCAATACACTACGTAAGCAAATCACATGGTGGTAAAGTTGAAAAGACCAGCTGAACCCAAATTAGCATACCCGTTCAAAATTGCAAAAATGTTGTCCCTGAACCGAACCAGAAGATCAGTGTTTTCCTGCATCTGTCGATGTAACGACAATGGTATCGTTCGTATTAGCTGCGAAACCAGGAAACCTCACAAGCAGTCCTGACTTCAGGAGAGTTAAGACGCTAAGAGAACACAGAAATCTTCCACGAACAGTCCAAGTTTTAAGACGACTTGTTCGTGTAATATACCAGATAAATGTGAAGGTATCGATTTGTGGCAAAAACCAGAACTTTCAGGGAATACTTGCAAGAGAGCATCACTAGAACTGTGCCACGTTGTAGATAGCAACGGATGACTATATAAATGAAATACCTTCATGGATGCAAGATTGGAGCGGATCTGGGCAATGACTTGAGCATTCTGCTCCAGCAAGACTCCCGTCTCTCCTCCAATGGCTGCAGAACACACACACACATACTGCGTAAGAGTGCAAAGCGTAAACTGATTCACAATTCTGAAATGCTAATCCCGAAAGGACCAATATGCATCTACACTCATCGTCTGATAGAGTAGGACCATAAAAATACGTCAACCAAATATGGACTCTTAGTACATCTGTATCTCGGGGTAAAAAAATCGAACACATACCATGATTGGAAATTCCATCATCGTTGTCAATGGGAGGAGGCGAATACATCGGCATTGGCGACCTGGGAACAATGTTGCTAGTAGGCATTGCTTTCAATGTCGTCTCTGCTTTATCCTGGTAAAATGACAATAAAAGGAGAATTTTACTACGTTAGAACGACGGAAGGGGAGTTCGCTACTTCCACACGATAACCAAAATTCTGAAATGGCAACTTCGTGATGTCTCTACAGAGACGAAGAGCACACTGAGGTTGGCAAAACACCCATTGGTACAGAGCCCTCCCCGACGGCAAAAATCACACCCAAGTTACCTTCTTATCCTTGGTCTTCTTAGTCAAGTTTTGCACCTCATCTTTTCGTCTCTTCCCATTCTCCTTCTTCTGATCATCACGATGTGGATTTCCATAAGTTGGGGAATATCTAGTTTTGAGAGTAAGGAAGATTATTATTAAACCAGCAATCTAGTCTCTCAGATTCCCCAGCTGCACACCTAAAGTGAGAAAGGAGATTTTCACGTGTCAAGGGCGTAAGCAAAACACTCACAGTCATCCATCGCACACGCAGGGCAACGTCCCGCACAGTTTTTTCATTAAGAAGAGCGGCTATTTTAATGTACTTAGCAAGGTTATCCGTCAGAGCCGCATGCCTGCGCAATGGATGAAAATGCACGATTTGTTAAAAAGATCGTTTTCAAGTGAAGGCCTTTCAGCCTGCGCCCCCAAACGCCACGTTGTGATCGCTGTTCTACTTCGTCAACTACGCAACTTGTGCATGTTGCTGTTTGAGCTAATGCTAGTCGTGTATGGATACCAGAAGTTATGGATCTCCAAAGGTGACTATTGTTTGAACTAAAAATCAGACCAGATCATTCCTACCATGCTCATTTTCGATGGACTAGTTCCAAACTCGCTGACTGGCTCACTTATTACCGTTTAACAATGGCTAGCACTGAGCTAGATACAAGTTCAAAAGTACTACAATGGGCGCCCACATCGACCCCACTTCATCTACATGCTAGCCGGAACAACTTGCCGCTGCTGAAGGTTTCAACTAGGGCAAGGTTCTCAGAGTTCAGCCAAAATAATTTCTGGCAAATCTTCTGCTGGCAGGTCAATAGGAGGGGAGAGAGGGAGAGAGAGAAGAAGAAGACGAAGAGGAGAAAGATTGGCAGTGCAAACAGGAACTGCAAGGAGAGAATGAATTACTTGTTAAGAGTCTCTTCGAGAAGTGATTGCTCCTCGGCACTCCATTCCAAGGCCAACCCAGAGTCATGCTTCAAACTCGTATTCTCACCTCCATTCACAGCGGGGCTTCCGTTCCCGTTCGAGACTGCTCCGTTAGTAGCGCCATTGGAAGGAGGGGCTGCTGAAGCTACGTCCATTGTGGCAGGAGATGAGTACCTTGGGGTGGCGGTAGTCCCGTTGCCAGCTGCATTCTGGCTGTTGCTTTGCAAATGGGCCTTAACAGCGGAATTATGGTTGGCTTTGGCTTGCACAGGAACATTTGGACCGGATCCTGCCATAGCTGATTGTGCCATCAACACTCACTACAGTGTATGTTTTTGTGATAGTCTGAGAGAGCATACAAGGAAAGAGCGCTAGCAAGAACGATGTCTGTCAGCACTCGTGGTTTTGTGGAACCCCAGATGTTCGGGGTAACAAAACCTCTGATCCCAATAGCATGAGCAGCATTTTCACAAGCCACCACTGTGCCCTCGGGTTAATGTAGATGAATACATTCTAAAGTTTGACAACCCCTTGGTGCTCATTCATGCAGTGCCCCTAAAAATCACACTGTCTTCAGCGATGCTGTTGGTCTCTACTAAGTAATGACCCCCTTCTCCTCGTTCTTCTCGCCTTCAGTCTCCAAGATTTCTCCAATACCTTCAGACGCTTCCTTCTCTGCACATAGTGAAAGCTGCTCGAAACCTCCAGTAATTTGCAATATGCTTCCAGGATGTACACACTGCAGAGTGCCTGGATACCCCCCGGGGCAGGAAACCCACCGGAATTCAACCCAAATAAATTTTACATAGTCAGCTGGGAAGTGATCCTAGTAAAGACCAATCTAGCCAAGGCCGTTCTCCTACCTCACAGGTCACCAAAGGCCCAAGCTACAAACCACACTTCTTCATCCTCTCACTTCTACAACTGCAACTCATCCAACTACAAAAAAGATTTTAAAACTAAAATTTTCAGAGAGACAAAATCACTATCGCCACCAACTCAACCAAGTACAAAGATCCTCCTCACGCCTTGCTATCGCCTGCAACCATCCACTCCTCTCTCGCGTTCCTCAATTCTACACGTGATATCTCCCCTGATACTATCAACAACACATCCAGACTTCCCCTATCCTCCACTCTGAAACTCCCACCCACAGCGTAACCCAACCATCAAACCTCTACCTCGCATCTTTCCAATCTTTGAAGCCTCGTATTGCCGACCTCTCTCTCCCTCTCCCTCTCCCTCCCTCCCTCTCTGCCCATGTCTCTCTTCCACCACGACTACGACCCTCCAAAGTACCTAAACTCGTAACCCACCGAATTTCATGCAGTGAACAGGAAACTCCGCACTTGTGGTTCGAGGATGGAGGAGAGGGCAGGAATGAATCTCCTGGTTCCCTTCAATCCGGTCTATTGCAAGGAGGAGGAGGAGGACGAAGAAGAAGAAGAAGCCGCAACAGTAAAAAGAGTAAAACAAAAAGGAAACCCACAAACAAAAAGCAGGAGTGGGGATGGGAAAAAGGCTATGGAGATTGAAGGGAACAACAGCGGGCCGAGGAGCGTCGTCCTCGGCGAAGCCGGATGCTACGTAACCTGATGGACGACGACGACGGGCGACGACGACGACGATTTCCCGGCGACTGCCGACGGGATTGACTGGGACGGATGGTGGAAGTCCGGCGACGGAAAAGGTGGAAACCCGGGGTTCGGGGCGGCCACCGTAGATCTGGCGTAGATCGGACGACAACGAGATTCGTCACGCTCGCGTCCATCCTGGCCGACCGATTCTTCAGGATGCCCCTGGTGCGTGCGGGGGGCGTTTTTTTCTGACCGTGGGCAGCCTCGCGCGGATGGCGAATGGCCACGTCGGCGAGGTCCAGTCAACGTGGATGAAACTTTCCGCCAAATCTCTCTGTTCGTCGGTCTCTGTTGCACACTTCACTTCATTTGTCACTATTTTTAACGGGGGGTTTCGTTGTTTGTTTGTTGTGTTGTAGGCCATGGCTCCCACATCCACGACGGTGTAGCAGCCATTTCTTGTACCAGTGTTGTCACTTTGTGCCACCATTTCAAAACGTATCAAAATCATTCCTTAAAAGAAACCCTACTTCGTAATGGAAAATCATTCAATAAACTATTCACTTGTATTGCTCATGGTACGCAATTTTCTTGTCTTCTTTTCTCCTTTTATTGGCAAGTTGGGTAGTCTCTCATTGGCCAAGGAAAATATAACCCTGAGTGATCACAGGTGAAAAAAAGTACAGTTCTTTGGGCCTCCGTTTAGGATTTGGGTTAGGATTTGGGTTAGGATTTGTGTTGGGACTTGGGTTGGGATGTGATGTATAAAGCCTGGTAGCTGAGAACATCCACCAGGAAACCATGATCTGCCACATGGTACAGACAGAATCCCATTCACACCTGGCTCGGCTTTTAGATTTTCTGTCTCTCATGAAGCCTACTCCATTTCCTGTATTGATGATGTTTTGTAGGTGCATGTATTGACACTCAGCTTTAAAACAAAAAGCGACTTTAATACATATCTATATTTATATTTTGGAAAAAATAGAAATGGAAAATAAATTGAGAGCTTGCCTTGGTTTAAGAATATATAATTGGTGTAGAATGATGCTCTGACATTAAAAAGAAGGATCCAACATGCCTACCTTTGGCATACAACTTGTTTCTATATAATGTACAAGGTATTTTTATAGGGCACAAATATTCTAGTATGCTTCCTTGGTGGATGTATTCACAAAGTTGATCATTGGTTTGTTTGAGAGCATAAATAATAATAATAATAATAATAATAAAACTGGAGTATTACTTGACATTTTGTATTCCACTCATTCCCTCTCAATCAACCAATGAGTAACTCTAGAGAGTATCAAAAGAGCCAAGGGAGGTACCAAAATATCTATGCCTATTTTATAATGTGAGATTCTTCTCTATTCTACGTTTTGCAAAATAGATTAAAAAAAACTCATATCAATCCAACTTGGATTGGACAATATACGAGCAAGTTATCATGGAATGCCATGGATGAAACACATATTCTTGCTACGAAAAAAAAACACTTTTTTAAATTTTGCTATCAAAAAGGAATTTGACACCATGATCTAATTTTTGATATAGATGGATTGATTCATTGATTGGTGAATGGATTTGAGTGATAAAAATTTTTTGTTGAAAATCACGTTATAAAAAATAATAAGGTTTAAATGTACAAGATAAAAAAATATACCATCATTTGAAAAATAATATCATGAGATTTGATGTGTTATGGAATACATGAATGAAGGACTGTCACACAAATGGCTGTTGTAAGATTGCAATATGTTAAAGAGAATGACATTTTCATCACTTTCAAATCTTGGCACCAACAAAAAAACAAATAAATCAAATTTAAAGTTTTTAATATATACTATTGCACATCAAAAACTTAAACGAAACAAACAAACAAAAAAAACAAAAAAACATCTAAAATAAACACCAACAACATCACAAACAGCAACGAGTTTCACAAACAATTCTTCTTCTACTACTTTCTTCTTATTTATCTTATTTTTTGTTATTTTTACACCATCTGAATAAGCTAAGTCCATGTCATCATCCATGTCATCCTCTTACAATCTCAGAACTGATACTCCAACAAGATTAAAATAAGTGTGCACACTGAAAGAGACAACTACTGCATTTCTGGTTCTTCATTTATTATTCAACTATTGAGGTGGGAGGGGTCATTTGTTTGTTTGTTTGTTTTTAAATTCCAATTGTAAGCTTGTGGTATTAGAACTAGCTCTCAAATGGACTACAAACAAGTGCTCATAGTTTTTGAAGATGCCTCATCTCAATATGCATGAAATGTACTACCTTTCCCCACAACAAAAGCATGCATCAGTGTGAATACAAATATAGAAGAAAACTGAGGGAGTGCTTTTTTTTTTTTTTTTTTTGAGCTTGATTCCTTAAAGGAAGGACATCATAACATCTGCATGTAAAGCCCATAATGTTTGCTATTTTGCAATTGGCCAAGTCAGCCTCTCCATTTCTGTCAATTATCTGTTTCTTAGGGACTTGCACTGTCTAATTGAAACCTCCATGTATTGTATCCAATATATATATATATATATATATATATATATCTTGATTTTACATACAAATTGAAGGTGAAATGGCATCTAGTAATTTGAGTAGCCTGAAAAAATTAGCTTAAATATTCATTAACTTATTTTTTGGATGACAATGCTGAGATTAAGTTCATGCTATTTCAAAATTACACAAATGTAATGCCACTCACTGGATTATATATATATATATATATATATATACAACAGAGAGAGATAATTCTGCTGTGGGCATTCAGAGCTTTTAAACAATATTATGTAATTTTGACCCCTTCTTATTACTTCAGAAGAAACAAATCCAACCATCTTCCTTTCTCTGGATATATGTATAATACAAATTGGCAATTTTTGTGTTGAAATTGATGTAAACAAATATTCGTTCAACATAGCTACAGAAATACACAAATCAAATTATGTAATGATAAAAAAATGTTTTACAGAACAAACATTAAATTTAAATACAATTCATGTATAATTTGCCAAAGTTGTCATTTTGACTATCTGTATTTTTGGTTTCATCATTTGTACTCTGTATTCATTGACTCAACAAACACATACACATACACACACACATGCACATATATATATATATATATATATATATATAATTGTTTCTATGCAGAAAATGATTTATTTATCATTATCATGTTTCAAATGTTTCTTACTGTAAAATTTTGATGAAAAAATATCTTTATTCTCCAATAAAATAGTATGATGCTTTTATTCTTGCATTGCATTTCATTATGTAATATGTGTGTATTGGAATTAGAAACTATAACTAATATTGATATTTAGTGTACATGCAATGTATACAATGAAGATAAGATATTAATGTTATACATTGCATGTACACTAAACATGAGAATACACCACAAGCAATGAAGATAAGCAACAAAAACTATATAAAAAAAAAAAACTGTATACATTTGTACTGTATAAGTCATGTTTAAAACTTCGAACAAGACTGTGCCAATTTCAGTGTTTCCAAAGTACAAAAACAATTTAATAGTATTAAAAGGAACAAAATCTTGACGAATGTTGAATTACGTAGCATCCCCAAGGTCTAAACTGACACAATGTAATGACGCAACAGATTTTTGTCTGGTTGTATTTATTATTGGCAAAAATCAAAAATATATTTACAACAGTATGTTATCCCATATACCTACATTAGTACACAGTACTTATTTCATTTTTATATCAATCTCTATTCAAATATAATGTTCATTTTTTTTAAGCATAAAGAAATAAGTAAGGTGTTCCATTGATAGAAAGAGCACAACAATAAGTTCATGTATAATTATTCATTTGTTCACATGCACTCTATGTCCTGCCATTAAAAACCCCACTTAGAAATCTATGCATTCTTCAAAGTAGTTCAGACCGCACTGTTTCTACTCCATCCTGTTATGTAATTGAAAGTTTCCTTTTAATTGGGTTGTTTTGGATGATAGTGGTGTGGAGTCTTTCCATATGTTTTTCTTTTGAATTAGAGCCCAATATATATATATATATATGTGTAATGACAGGAAACAATGATAAAATGGTACCATGCACAGCATTTCAAATATTGACTGAGTAACTGATCTTGTTCATCATCAAAACTATCCAACAACATCTATCCTACCCTATTGTACAGATGGCATAAAAGCATTTGAATCCATCTACAAAAAAGTTTTTAAAACACAAAAGTTAAAAGAATCCTTTATATAGATTTTTTTACTCGACCAAGTGGTGCAAAAAAAGAAGAGTTTAATTATAACCTGTTTTGTTTTATTTTATTTCACTTGTTTGTGCCTCCCTCTCTCCCCCCCCCTAGTGGCTCCCGCCATCCAATAATGAATGAAACATAAAATTTTCATTCATTTATGGGCTAGAAAAAGGAAAAAGTAACAGGGGGTTGTGTCCAAGCCAAAGGGAGCCAAGTCCAAAAATGGGTGTGGTTTATTGGCCACTCATGCAATGGCCTTTCCATGGTTTGTCCACATAATAATGCATTGAATTCTCTCGCATTCAAACCATTAGCCCCAATAAGTTTAAAAAACAACAAAATAATGATGACAGAGGATGAATCATTCCATTAATTTGGCAAAAAGGATATAAATTAAGCAAATGATCATAAGGTCCCATTAACTTTACCTAAGGACTCCAAGCTCATTTCCTTTCTTTGGTTTTTTGAAAGAAAATTTTAAAATAAAATAAAATGCTTTGAAAAAATACAGCTGTGTTTTCTAGCACAAGATGCTTGTATGAGAAAAAGGTCATATGTTCCCATTCCTACTCAGCAATACATGTGTCATTTGTAGTTCATTTGATTATGGATGCAAGTTCTATTTCCAAAGTTTCTTTTGTTGTTCATTTTAGAAAGTGTCAATATTACTTGCCCATATTTTCATCCTCATGAATCCAATAAAAAAAAAAAAGAAAAAAGA